GCGAATATGCCCGGGTAAGCACAAAATCTCAAAGTTGATCATTTGGGTGGACACTGCCTTTAAACAACTAACATCACTGCAGCGCGTGAGAGTTGCAAAGAAGGTTAGTCCCAAATGAAGGCGGACGCCCAGCGCTCGCGCAGCGCTTCGCGTACGCTTACCCACATAGGCGTCCGCCATTAGATTGGACCAGTCACTGAAGCTTCTCTCTAACTCAAGTTACGGTTGCAAAGGATAAGCCTTACACAAACTGTCTCCAATACGGGTAGCGATTCGCACATCATCACTATCTGTAATCACATTATAGGTATGATTCGAGTCCGAAGCTAGCGGTGACAAATCCCCAGTACCTAAAAGAAAAACGAAATAAATCTTGTGTTCAAATAAGTCCTCTGCTATACCCATGTTGACGGTAAAAATCTCAAATCCTTGCTTTCTCATGTTGTTAGCAGTTTCCAGCGCATCGTTGACAAATAAATCACTGAAAAGAACTTAAAATTAGTTCTATAATCAATGTAACCTCGTTGCGTTGCTGATTCTAGGCAATTGAGGGGAGGAGGAGGAGGTTGTCCGCAGTATGTCCATATATAGTTTTTGTAATACGGATCAAATGCGCTCCTTTCATGAAGTTGTCAACTTTACGCTCAAATCAAAGAATTTCAATGCCTGCTCTGAAAACTGAGAAAAAGTGTATTTTGACGTAAATTTTAAATTGAATCAGAGCGTCGATTCTGTTGAAATTTAGCTATATATCAAACAAGAACTCAAGTAACCGATAGCTATTTTAGTATTTCCAGTACGATTACTTTTTCTAGTAGAATATTAGATGTGAGACTCACGCTCACCCATTAGATTTTATATTTGTTTGATTTGAATAAAAACATTTATAAATCAAGAGGTTGGAAAATCTAAACTTCCCAGTATTCGAGACCAGTCAAAAATCTTTTTAAGAATCTCCCGTGCTATTAGACAATTCGACAACCCTTTTCCAATTAGTTATGATATTGGCTAGAAAATAATTTGGTTTTTTCTTCGAAATGTCCATAAAAATTTTTCTTATTGTTTTTATCCATTTTTCTGACATAAAAGTAAATCAAAGTCTCCACTCCCATATCAACTGCTCAGAATTTTACACAATCACTAAGGAACGTAATACCCTAAATTACTGAAGGTCGTGCTGTAATGGTAGAG